ACCATACCACAGAGGCTTCACCCACTTGGCCTGTTTGATTGAAGCGCAGGTCTCGCAGTTGTGGATGACCTGTGAGATGCTGTCCATAGTAAGGTCTACCCCTTGGTCATGGGCCGATCAGTATATTGAGTCTCTCCCATGATAACCAGAGGCATCATGGGCCCAACGAGCCAGGAATAATTCTCTCTTATGCTGCCAATCTAGATCCACCTGTGATACTTTCACCTTGGCAGCTCGGTCCACATGATCATTGTTGTGATGCTCTTCAGTAGCCTGACTCTTGGGTACGTGCACATCCACGTGTCGAGTCTTCATGCTCAGCATCTCTACTTGGGTGGCAATGTCCTGCCAAATTTCAGCATCCCAGATGGGTTTCCCTCTGCACTGCCAGTTGGCCTTTTTCCAGCGACTCAGCCATCCCCACAGAGCATTAACTACCATCCATGAATCAGTGTAGAGATAGAGCCTCAGCCACTTATCTCGTTCAGCAATATCCAAAGCCAGCTGGACGGCTTTAAGCTCTGCAACCTGATTCAATCCACCTTGTCCCTGGGTAGCTTGTGCAACTTGTCATGTGGGGCTCCATACTGCAGCTTTCCATTTCTGGTTAGTGCCTAGAATTCGGCAGGAACCATCAGTGAAAAAGGCATATCATCTTTCAGTCGCCAGTGGGGCTTCGTCACGTGCCCCTTGCTCCTCTTATTCAGAAGATAATCCAAAAGTCTCCCCTTCAGGCCAGTTTTTTATAATTTCCATAATCCCAGGGTGATTCGGATTTCCAATATGGGTGTGCTGGGAGATGAGGGCAATCCATTTACTCCATGTGGTGTCGGTGGTGTGATGTGTGGGAAGGAACCTTTCCTTTAAACTTCCACCCCAGCACTGGTATCTGGGGTGCCAGAAGCAGCTGCGTTTTGGTGCCAGTTATTTCTGAGGCAGCTTGAACTCCTTCATACGCGGCCAAGATTTCCTTCTCTGTGGGAGTGTAGTTTGCTTCAGAGCCTTTGTAGCTCCGGCTCCAGAATCCCAGTGGTCGACCCTGAGTCACCCCCAGGCACCTTCTGCCAAAGGCTCCAGGACAGACCATGGTTCCTGGCTGTAGAGCACATTCTTCACCTCTGGTCCTATCCTGACTGGGCCAAGGGCTACCGCATGAGCGATTTCCTGCTTGATCTGGGTGAAGGCTTGTTGCTGTTCAGGGCCCCAGTGGAAATCGTTCTTCTTACGGATCACCAGGTAGAGAGGGCTCACTATCTGGCTGTACTTGGGAATGTGCATTCTCCAAAAGCCTATGGCACTTAGGAAAACTTGTGTCTCCTTCTTGTTGGTAGGTGGAGACATAGTGATGATCTTGTTGATTACTTCTGTCGGGATCTGACGATGTCCATCTTGCCACTTGACTCCTAGAAACTGAATTTCTTAAGCTGGTCCCTTAACCTTGCTTTGCTTAATGGCAAAACCAGCTTTCAGCAGAATCTGGATAATCTCTCCTTTTTCGAAGATTTCCCCTGCTGTGATCCCCCATACAATGATGTCATTGATATACTGTAGATGTTCAGGAGCCTCGCTCATTTCCAGTCCAGTCTGGATCAGTCCATGGGAGATGGTGGGACTGTGCTTCTACCCCCTGGGGCAGTCGGTTCCAGGTGTCCTGCACTCCTCTCCACATGAAGGCAAACTGAGGCCTGCATTCTGCTGCCAGAGGAATGAAGAAGAAAGCATTGGCAATATCGATGGTTGTGTACCACTTTGCTGCCTTGGACTCCAGCTCATACTGAAGCTCCAACATGCATGGCATGGCAGTGCTCAGTGGTGGTGTGACCTCATTCAGGCCACAGTAATCCACTGTCAGTCTCCATTCTCCACTGGACTTATGCACTGGCTATATAGGGCTGTTGAAAGGTGAATGAGCCTTGCTGACCACCCTTTCGGCTCTCCAGTTTACGAATCATCTCATGGATGGGAATCATGGAGTCTCTGTTGGTACGATATTGCCAACAGTGTACTGTTGCTGTGCCGATTGCTACCTGTTCTTCTTCAGCTCTCAGCAGTCCCACAGCAGAGGGGTCATCTGAGAGACCAGGAGAGGTATTTAGTTTTTTGATGTCTTCTGTCTCTACAGCAGTAGAGCTGCTAAGGAGGAGGTGGGTTTTACATACCACTTCCTCATGTCTTCTCCATGCTCCTGTGTGAGAACCCCGGGATTGATTCGGGGCTCTCGTGTGGTGGTAAAGTCTCTCCTCCAACCCGCGCTTCCAAAGAAAAACTCCGCAGCCTCTTGTTGTTCGGTCTCCAGGCAGTTTATTACTAGTTATCTAAAAGATTGTCTTTGCCCGCTGCGCTGCCTTGGTCAGCTGCCCAGGCAGAAACACACACAGTCCTGACACCCTCACTGTCCGGTGTCTCTGTCGTCTCTCCCCCCGCCCAGGGCTGCTGCTATCTTTTATATGATATATTACGTCTTACATGTTTACAGATTTTCCCCAATACCTACTATCCATGTTACAATGGGCTTTTCTACTCTAAACCAATCTGTGAGTGCCAATATCACCAAGAACATGGAGGTAAGGAAGAAGAAGGAGGAAGAACAGGATCAGGCCCACTTTCCTCCATCTTAGAACTCCTGACCCCCCTGTACAAAGTAAAACCCCCCTGTACAGGTATTAAAACCCCCCTGTACAATACTAAAAAATTTTCCCCTCTAATTTGTGACTACTTTTACTATACCATCTAACCCTTTGTGACCGCTTCTTCCACCTTCAAAGTTGGTAACTCATTTGATGGCTCAAACTCAAAATCACAGCTGTTTTCAGCTGCTTGCCAAGGTCTAAAATGCTTCTGGCCGAGGCCTGGAACCTCTGAAAATGTCTGAGGGACATTTTGAGTTCCTACACTCCTGAAGAAAAAAACAGGTTACCTCGTGGAGTATATCCTCTCTCCTTGGCTGGGGAATGCCGGCTCTTAATGGCAGAGACTCTTGTTGGTTCTGGTGAGATGTGGCAGACTTCTTCCTTAAGTTCCTTTTTTAGTTTCTGATGGCTCTCTTCAATCAAGCTCTGGACTTGCTCAGCCAGCCTTGTTTCTACGGACGAGACATGGGTACGAAATGGGGCGGTGACAGTGTCCTCGTAAATTCTTAGTTTATTGACCAAGACGCCCACCCTGTTCTCGCCTTCCCTCCATTGCAGTGTTGCCAGGTAACAGGAGTACATCTCTGGTCCAAGCTGTGCAAATCTCATCTACATTTGCAATGTGCACTGGACACAATCTGGGCTCTTAGGAAATCACTCGTCTTCTGAGAAAATTATCGCCAGCACAGCCAATTCCATCAGGCATCGGATACCTTGTTCCATTGTGCTCCATTTTCCTTGGTGCACCTGGAGGTCTTCTTTACAAAGGCATCTGTCCCTCAAACTTGTCAGCAGTCACCACCAGAGGCTGAGAGTTTCTTGGGCTCTCCCGATCCCCTGGTCAATGACCACATCCCGGGACAGCGATCCCAGTTGCCTGGCCTCACTTCCATCCAGAATGGTGTCATTCTGGCTGCAGCATCCCAGATGCAGAGTAGCCAGGTCAGGATGGACTCGTTTGTCTGGCGGGTGAATTCCTTCTGCAGGTCACACAGCTCATCCAGGGATAGAGTGCGAGTGAAGATCTCTGGCTCTGTCTCTTCTGCTGGGTGCAATGGTCCTGCCGCGTCCTCGTCAGTCACTATGTGGACTGATTTGGTCTTTGATTTCTTCTTCCGAACAGGAGTAACTGCTACTGGTTCAGGCTCTTCTGGTTCGGTGATGGTTTGTGTGGAGATGCTGATGGTGCTTTTGGTTCCTTTCTCTTCTGTGACAGTCTGTGTAGACATAGACACTGTTGCTTTTCTTTTGGTTTCTTCCTCCTTTGTGACAGTCTACGTAGACATGGATGCTGTTGTTTTGCATTTGGTTCTTTTCTCCTCTGTGGCATTCTGTGCGGACACGGACGCTGTTGCTTTGCTTCTCTTTTCCTCTTCCTGAAGAAGACGTTGCAACACACTATTTAGTGTTTTGTTTCTAAGCATGTTGCAGACTGTGCAGAAAAGACAAAGCAGAACTAACAACAACACTATGCTGTCCTTGGCATCCAGACAGAACTGAACATTATCAAAAACTGCTTGGTCAAGCCTGAAAGGTTGGAAAAAATAATTCTTTACCCCTCCCCCCAGGGGCTGGGTGTGGTTGTCGATGCCCCAGACGTAGCAGCCTAGATTAGGACAAGCAAACAGAATTGAGTACATATTCTGAATCATGTTCATTGCCACGGAGATTATCATGCAATAGACATAATAGACCAATAAAGCAATTTTTATACCATACCCTGGTCAATACAGGAGCATTACAATCGGCAGATAATTCTCCATGTGCAGAAAAATATAGAGAGCTAGGTATAAGACCCATATAAGCATGTTGAGCATCATGGCGAATAGGTGGCTTCTACAATACAAAATTGTAATTCTGACTTTTCTCAGTACCTTGCTGCCTCATATTGGGCATCAAAATTATGTTCTGGTTTGAAAGCAAAACCAGTTAGAGACTCCAAGTCAGAAATACAATTTATTTGGAAAAGGGAAAAAAATTACATGCAATAATACAAAAGAAAAACTACTGACAGAGTCAGAATACAACTGGACACCCCGTTGGCCAGGGTGTTGGTAGCAGTACAATTGGAATGGTGGCTGCAGTCCTCCTGGAGTGACAGATGTGGTTCTGTTGGAGCAGTGATCCTGTAGAAGGGTATAGTCTTCCTCTGAAGATCCAGTGGAAAAGACTCCTCTGGTGTCCCAAAAACTCAGATTATATCGAGTTAGGAAAGCTTGGCTCCTCCCTCTGGGCGGAGCATCTCACAATGGGATGTTGTAATTTTTATCTGTCATGCAGTGACATTCAATAGCCCATTAACAGCAGATGTCTCCCCAGAGGGAGGATTGGTTTGTGAAGAGATAAAGAAAACTGCCCAATAAACAGAAGATAACTGCCACACCTCTAACAGATGTCAAATAAAATACATATTGCCTTGCAATCTAGGATAATCTCATATGTTTAGGACTAGGTGACAAACTTCAATTTATAGTTAGAAAACAACTTTGGGCATTAGTTGCTTATAATGCACACACATTTTGTTTATTTTACAATATACAACCCTAAAGATTGGCATGAAATTTCTTATGGTACTAGTTCTCTGATTTCTGCTCTCCCTTACCATAGTGCAGTTTTTGGTGCTTACTCTTGGAACATGCTGGTCTTAACAGTGATATTTGGAGAGAGAACATTCCTCAGCTGTATCAGCAAGCAGAAATAATACTTGTCCTTCACTGTTAGCCTGCTGCCTGTGTAACCTAAGGCTTCTTTTCAGCTGCTGAATTTTGTAAATCCGCTTACTACAGATGACTGTGGTTGAAGTGTCTGGAGTGAGGAATGTCATTCTTCAGCTTTGAGAGCACTTGCACATCTTTCCACCTAATGGTTTCAAGCATGCTCATTAATTTTTTCTAAACACAGTCAATATGGACTTTCCTATCACTTGGAGCTAGATGAGGCTGGCATAAGCAAATATCGCAAACATCCAGCAAGAGGTGAAGGAATGCAGTTGTGATCTGTATGTCAGAAAGCATTGCTTTTCTTATGTCCCATAAAGCTGAGGAAGTGGTGGCAGGGCTTAGGGGTTGAGGCTCTTTGATAAATTTTAGTTACCTTTTCTCCATCTTGCCTGGCCTCGCTCTGTCTTTTTAGGTGCACAGGCCAGAATTCAGCACAATATTCAAGATGTTGGTATATCTGTATCTTGTGCTGATATGTGATGCCTCACCTTACTATTGCTTTGTTTTCTGAGGATACCCATTTTTGTTGTTAACGTTGGGTTGGAGACAGACACACAACACAATGCCGGTGTGTCATCAGCAAACTGTGTTTTATTGTTCAGAGCTTTCTTTTACAGGGAATTCAAAACTCGTGGATCTAGACAGCCATTGGTCTGATCTTTTATGCCCCCCAGATCCTGGACGAATGATATGCCTGCAGCTTAGGATGGAATGTAATTGGTTGAGGTTCCTGTCTTTCAACCCAGAAGCTGGTTTTATGGAGCTGGCTGGGTAGCCAAATTAATTGCCCGGTACAAGCCAGCTTGTACTGTGATATAATCTGGCAACATTTTGTTGGCTTTTTTTGGCTGCTTTAGTGCATTGAGCTGTTTGCAGAAACTGTTCAGATGTAACATAACTTTCAGTACAGTCTAAGTTTGATACTTTTGTTGATGCATTGAGAGAAAAAATGCAGTTAACAGTTCTGATTCATTGAGCCTCTACTGGCTTCTCAAAGAATTCAAAGGCTTTTAAATGAATTCTTGAGTTGAAGTAAAAGATGGTTTCTTTTCTGCCCAACATTCCAGTCTGACCAGACAGCTTTTTCCAGAGCTGCTGTTCTATTTCCTACTGAATTATATAATTTGGAAAGGTAATTGTATATGACTCTCCTGATAGCTATGCTGAACAGTCTGGCCAGATGCAAGTGTTTAGTTTCAAAACCTTCCTATAAACTCTTCATCCAAATGGCCAAACATTTCCTGGAATTGTATCCCAGATAAATGATTTTGTGAAAAACTGAGCTTACTCTTTGACATTTAAAAAAGTTTAATAAGGGATAAAAAGGGACAACTATCCAGCCCTGGGGTGTTTTTGGCAATTGGCCAAAAAACACACCTTTAGCTTAAAACAATTATCTTCTATATTGTTATCTTACACGGAGTACATGCATATTCATGAGAGTTTATACATTATTCAAACATTCCTGGGAGTTTGAATGTTACGGAAATTCTTTTGCTTGGTTTTAACTTCTGGTGGGTTCAGTGCTGGCCAATCACCAATACACTCACTTCCTGTTGTGAGATAGGATTAGGAGAAAGGCAAAGTAGGCTCAAAACTTTTAAAGGGTACAAAAGAGAATTTTATTAAAAGTAACTAGAAGGGGGAAAAAATGGTACTAAGAATCAAAACAAACCCTTCAGAACACTTCTCCTCCCCCCCAACCTTTTCTTTCCCACTGACAATGTAAAGAAACCAAACCTAAGATTTCCGGTCAGTTTACCACCTCTAAAATAGTCTTTCTTCAGTTCACTGAGGGAGAGAAGTCCTTCTTGTTAAGGTTATGGAGACCTCTCCACAAGAGGAAGAAACCAGTTCTCTCGTGGCTATCAATTTCGTCACAAATAGCAGCCGCCCGCGGAACCCTGCCATTGTGAAATCCTTCCCATTTTCCACAAGCCTTCCCACAGCTTGTCAATGGGCCATGTTGACTTATGGGGTACTGTTTTAAAGATGAGCTGTTCAAAGGCAAAAGTTCTCATTATCTATCTCTAAAATCATCTTCATCCCTGGGAACAGAAATCTTCTTCTTCTCCTGGAAGCACAGGACTACTCTTCTCTCTTCCTCTGTTCAATCTTCTCATGGGATCACAGCTATTTCAACATCTGCTTATCTTAGCATAGAGGCTTTTGCTCAATATCAATTTGAACACTTTCATCTCCCCATAGTCTCATGCGTTATAAGGAAAAAGAGTTCTTTCTCCATAGCTTACAAAAGGATTTCAGCTCCAAAAAAAAAAAAAAAAAAAAATCTCCTCAATCCTCCCATCTGGGACTTAACTTCTTCTTCACTGACCTCGATGTCTTCATGTTGTTCCTTTACATGCTTGCATCTTGTTCTTTTCTCTCATTCGAGGGAGAATTGAAGCACTGAAAGGGTTAACATCACACGTGGCCTCTTCAAATGGTCACCTGACACCACCCCCCCCCCCCTCCCCAGTCCAGCTGAGTATTCTAGCTGGCAGCTGGGGGAGATGGCTTGGATCTAATCAGCCAGGCCAGAACTCAGCAGCAGCACGCCGGGATTGGAGGGTTGCGGTGGGGGGGAAGGAGACTTCTCTTTCCCCCTGTCCGATGGTTGCGGGCAACTTCTACGGCGGTAAAATCCCGTCACCAACCCGGGGCGGAGCGGGTGCAGCCAGGCCCCGGGCTGGGGAGTTGTAGCAAGCAGCTAGATGTTAGCAAGGCCGGCCCCATTTGGCCCACGGCATCCCCCTCTCCCTGCCCGGGAGCAGATGGGGGAAGGGAAGGACAGCCTGCAGGCGACCCGGGGAAAAGGAGCCCAGCCCTGCGGCAGGGCCGGTGGGCCCGGCCCGGGATGGGGCCCACCCAGCCATGTTACCTTGCTCCTGACCAGAAGGGAAAGAGACAGTTCCCGGGATTTTTCCGTCTTTAACAGGTGTGTTTCACAGAGGCGTGTCCAGCTTCTCAGTGGTTCAACAGACTGTCAGTTACACGAAAAGCTTTGCATCACTTCCCTGAATTTCCTTCCATTCCAAACCAGGACATAACCTTTGACTTGTCTTCATGTCATCCTGTAGATTAAATCAATATATTTTATTTCTTCACGTGATTCCATCCTGCTGTTTTTACACTCCTTGATAACGAAGAGTCGATAAATTCTTCTCTTGGGGTTCTGTTTTTTATCCCTGTTATCTTATCCTTCAGATAAGATAGTCCACAAAATGTAGGGAACCACCTAATTATCTTACACCATTCTCTGAGTTAGTTACGTGAAAAAGCATTTTAACATCACATAGTCTCTATTTTAATATTATGCTATGGTCTAAGATATATTTATCACACTACTATTTATATAAGCTATATGGTGCATACTTAAACTGACACATTATACTATACCAAAAAGCAGCTAAAAGGAAATATAAATTGTACCATATCAAAATCTTTGTGATTAATAATAATATGCAAAAGCTAATACATAAATGCAAAAGCCAATACTATATTGTAATTTATAACAATATGCTTGTAGATATGCTCAGCATGCACTGTTCTGAATATGCCTCTAAATCAATTCAAGTACAGCTGGGGCTGTAGTCTCCTTTAATCATGTTCTGCAAAGCAGTTGTTATGTACTGCTGTATTTCCGGACTTATTTCCTTGTCTCTTTTTCTTCCCTTTCATTTAAATTAAAAGCTGTTCAAAGCAGGACCACCTCAGACACAGGAAGCTATTGCAGTGGTAGCTACAGCCAGGTGGCCAGGTGTGTAGAGCTGCCTGATGGGATTTGCTGTTGAGTTTTGTGCTGGTTGTGACATTCTGTGTGGAACAAAGGGCTGAATCTCTGAAGTGCAAAGAGTTGTAGGAAATGCAAAAGGGTGTGGCCAGCAGAGGGAGCTGGTGTTTGTCCCTGATAAATGCCAGCAGAGCAGGGCAGCTGGCTAGCTCTGGGCTGCTGCTAGAAATCCAGGAAGGCTGTCTGTCTGCCAGGGATTAAGTGACTGGCTCATGCTGGCTTTGTGAGTACCAGCAGTTCAATCTTGCTGGGCCCGTGGCGGCTTGCCTGAGTGTTGAGTACAGCAAGGGGAAGACAGTGCAGATATTTTTTAAGTACTGCTACAGCAGTCTTGGCACACAGGCTGAGGAGAAGGGAGACCTGGCCACAGCTCCAACCTCTTAATACACTGTGAGGTAGGGAAGGCAATGCAGCCTCATCTGATGGCCTTGGGTTGTATCAGTCAGGGTAAGCAAAGAGCCTGGTTTTCTGCTGTGAGGCTGAATGTCATGAAGAACAGGCTCACTAAGCAGGTTTCCAACCCTGCACCATCTATGGGTGGTATGGATAAACTGAATTCTGGTCTGATGCAAGCTTTACCTGCTGCCCTGTCACAAATGTGTACAGACATGATAGTCTGTCGTCAGATTAAGTCTTTGAGGTTTGTATTGTGTCATCTTCCCTATGCTGATCACCAAGGTCTGAAGTTCATAAGTATTTGCTCTTACTTCAACTATTGTCCTGTTGCCTTTTTCCCAACATGGAAATGAAACTTGAGATAATTTTAGTAAGGAGGTAATATAAAGGGGGATCTTTATTTGACGGCTTCCAGAGGCAATTATGGAAAGATGTCAACAAAAACCCACCCCCCTGCAGAGGTGAGTACATTTTTATAGGAAAATTAGCATAATTGATAAAAAGCACCAATTAGGAGGACAAGTGGTGATGCAATTCCCCCCAGGTCAAGCCCCTTCTCTGGAGTTCCCCCTTCAGTACTAGTTGTACTTTTTCCATTAAATGTATCTCGAAGAGTTGTTCTCAACCTTGGTTCCCAGAAAGAACCAAGATAGCATTGGGGCCTTGTACCTCCCAGGGCTTGGAGCTCTGGAATTTGTTTTGTCTTTCTGCCTAGGGAAAGGCCATGGAAAAGTACTGGGAAAACTAGTCACTAATACAATAGACTAAAGAGCTACAAATATATGTGTGAAGAATATAGAAAACATAAGAAAAAAAAAGGCAAAACCCCAATGGCATCAGTCCTTAGTGTATTGGGTTTGCATGATGAGGTTTTGACAGCAGGGGGCTACAAGGGATAGCTTCTGTGAGAAGCTGCCAGAAGCTTCCCCAATGTCCAGCAGAGCCAACACCAGCCGGCTCCAGGATGGACCCACTGCTGGCCAAGGCTGGGCCAATCAGAAATGATGGTAACACCTCTGTGATAACATATCTAAGAAGAAAAAAAAAGTGGCTACGCAGTTGTAATTGCAGCCAGAGCGGGGTGAGAACATCAGAGGAACAGCTCTGCAGACACCAAGGTCAGTGGAGAAGGGGGGCAGGAGGTGCTCCAGGCACCAGAGCCGAGAATCCCCTGCAGCCCATGGTGAAGACCATGATGAAGCAGCTGTCCCCCTCCACGATGGAAGACCCCATGCTGGAGCAGAGGGATGCCTGAGAGGGCACTGTGAACCTGTAGGAGGCCTGTGCTGGAGCAGGTTACTGGTAGGGACCTGCAAACCCATGGAGAGAGGAGCCCATGTTGGAGCAGGTTTCCTGGTAGGACTTGTGATCCTATGGGGGAGCCACATTGGAAGAAGCGGTGCCTGAATGACTGCACCCCATGGAAAGGGACCCACACTGGAGCTAGAGAACTGTCTGTGGGATAGACTCATTTTGGAGAAGTTTGTAGAGGACTGTCTCCTGTGGGAAGGACTCCATGTTGGAGCAGGGGAAGGACTCCTGTCCCTGAGAAGTGGCAGAAACAACGGGTGATGAATTGACCATAACCCCCATTCCCATCTCCCTGTGCTGCTGGGGGAAGGAGGTAGAGCTGGGAAGGAGGGTTGGATAGAGGGAAGGTGTTTTCTAAGGTCTTATTTTACTTCTCATTATCCTGCTCTCATTTTGTTAGTAATAAATTCAATTAATATCCCAAATTCAAGTCTGTTTCACCCGTGATGGTATTTGGTGAGTGATCTCTCCCTGCCTTTATCTTAACCCATGAACCCTTCATTATATTTTCTCTCCCTTGTACAGTTGCAGAGGGGAGTGAGAGCAGCTTTGGTGGGTGCCTGGCATCCAGCCAACATCAACCCACTACACTTAGATATCCTTAATTATTCATAAGTTTTGACTTTAAACATGTTTCTGATGCATCACCTAAAGAAGTTGTCAGCATCCAGAATCCGTGAATGTGTTAGCTCTGACTCTGCTGTCGTGATTACCTGTTTCAGGACTATCTTACTGAGTGTAATCTCTTTGCTTAATGAGCCCAACACATTCTCTCCTGCCAACGTGGATGCATCAGTCATGTTCAGGAAATGGAGGGACAGTAAAGGAAAAGACAAGGAGTATGCTGAAATCATAAGGTAAGCTTTTCTCTGTGTGATGCTGTGCTACTGGCCTCCTGCTTTGAATCCTATGAAACAGGCTGATTTCAGAATTTGCTGAAACCAGCTTCTTGCTGTGGTTGTGCCTTTCAAAATGAATTTTACAGCTTTATTCCAAGTTCATTCTTCTGGACAGAAATGGTGCAAACATCTGTCTTTGTATTCTTTTTCAGGCTAATCTGGCACGATGCTCTGCAAAACCTATTGGCTGCTAGTAAATTCTAGTCTGTGTACCTTTGAGAACTGCTTGCATTGCTTGAGATGTGATTCAAACTGCCTTCATGCTACTAATTCTGTGCTTAATGCACTCATGAATCATAATCTTGTCCCTCCAATTTGAAGGAATATCAGTAGGATTTGGCAAGTGCTTACACAAATGGGTTTGATTAGCTGTAAGCTCTGTTTAGTCTTGATTGCCCTTTTCTGAGAAATTCATGCTTCATCAGGTGCTGTAGGGATGTGATGTAAACTTTAGCCAAGATTGCTGTGGAGTGGAAATGGGCAGCCCATACTGCAGTGGGACTGCTGTCACACTTGCCTGGGGCAAGAACACATATACCTTGACTGCTAGCTGGATATACCCCTGGTTGGAGCTACGCAGGGCAGTCAGTCACTGTCCTGGGTTGTGCAAAGAGCCTTGCTGGGAGGTTATTTTAGCCCCCTCCAGCTGCATTGGCTTCAGCTGGATGTACTCCATAAACAAAGTATGGCAGACTGAACATGTGGGTGGGAGTAAAGGAACAGGCTGCCATCTGCTCTTCTTCCAGCAGGGAGGCAGCAACAGTTTGCAGCGCAAGTACTGCTGAGAGGCACCAGCCAGAGCCCATCCTGGAGCAAAGAGAAATTATGCTGTTGAGGCAAGGACCGAATGAATAGACTCCATGGTGTTCAGAAGGCAAAGAATAATCTTTATTAGGAAGTAGCATTCCTTTTTTATAGCCAGGATCGCTAAGGTGAAATATGATTGGTCTCAAAGTGAAAAGCATTCACACCATTGGTGCACTATGACCAGCATACTGTAGTAGAACATATCTATAAACAACATGAACAGAAAGAGAGATAATAATTGTTTTCATTCCTTCTCCTAACTTTCCCAGGCTAGGCCTGTGAGAATTCTCTCTCTTTTCTCTCTGACTGAACTAAGAATATCCACAATTCCCCCTTTTTGTTTAAAGGAGGAGGTGGTGTTTGTTGGCCTCCTGCAGGACCCCCTGCAGGAAGGAGAACAAACACAGCTCAAGAGTTTTATCAACTATCAATCAAAACCTCAATCGGATATTGGCTCAGAATGGTCAAAGAGATTCCAAACTTATATTATAAATTCCAAGAAAGCACTTACCAGCTCTAGTATAGTAACAACTCATTGTCAGTCTGCCAAAGGACTGGCAGTCCAACTTGTTAAAACCCATTTCCCAGTGTGAGCAGATGCCCACATGGAAGGAAAGAAGGTATTAACAAACATGTGCACATACCCAAATCAGCCAAATTTGAAATTTGGCAAGATGAGTAACATCTGTTTGACACAGCTGCAAAGCCTTTAGGCCTCTGGGATTTATCCCAGCCAGTAAGGTGCAGCAGGTCAAGCTTTGGTCGGCATTCATTGAAATTGTTTTTTGCAAGGTGTGTGCACTTGATAGAAGAATCATGCAAGGCTTTTGGCCCATGCAGTCATGTCCTCAATTAACAACTTGAGTGATAAAATTGAACTCAGGTCCAAATTGCATCCTCAAAGTTTTCAAAACAATTGAGTAAAATTGACCAAATTCAAAACCACTTGAGAAATCTCTGGAATGCCATGGCCGCAGCCCTTAAATCAAGCACTTGGGCCAGGGCTGACTTGTCGCGTTCCAGTACTTTGAGCTGTCAGTGAAGATGCAGCTCTTTCCACTTTTTTTTTGGTTTTGTTTTTTCCCAAAAGAGCTAGCAGCTTTAGGACCCTGTGGTGCTGGGCGAGGCTGGAGACCCGGCCCAGGGGGCTGGGCCAAGCGGCCCAGACCCGGCCGGGGGGCAGGGAGCCCATCCCCTCTGCCGAGCCAAGATCCACTCGGCTTGGTCCCTCACCCCAGCTTCTCATAGGTATCACTTGGGGCCCCTGGATCTGGGGTCCCTGGGACACCCATGGCCACCCATAGATGGGCGACCCATTCTAACCTTATTTTTCGGTGCCCGTCCCCACCAGGCTGCCTGAGTCTTGGCAATTCCTCCGGCTTTTCGCCCTCCCCCCGCCCCACCCGGCCATGGATCAAGCCACAGCTTCTTGGGATCCCGCTCCTCCCGCTCTGCGAACAGGAGCAGGACACGCAGGGCGCGGGCTGGGGAGGTCTTCCTGGGAATATAAAATTCCACCCTGGATTTGGGGCTCTCGGCACCGCCCACGCCTGCCCAGTACAAGGGGCTGCTCCTCGCTCCCAGTGTGCCTGCTCTCCCCCGCGATACAATCGATTGTTGCCCAGCTCCCTCATCCGCGGCCCCATTCCCCTCCCCAGGCACGGGACCAGCAGCAGCGATGCTGCTGCGGACCAAGCCGGTGCTCCCTCTCGGCGCCCCTGCCTCTGCCTCAGAGGGACACAGTTGGGGGCAGTCTTGGGGAAGAGGAGGGGGTGGTAGGCTGGGTGCGGGCTCTGAAGCAAGCGGGCTGGATGTTTTGTCCAGCGCGGGGCTGCCGGCCGCTGCCGGTGGCAGATCGCAGAGCAGAGCCGCTGCTGAGCCAGCTTCAGGCGGCGAAGCAGGAGGCGCGGGAGGGGCGGCCGCCTCCAGCGTGGTGGTGGGCAGCGTCGCGGTGCTGGCCCTCCCCCACGGCGTGGCGCACAGCCATTCCAAGCGATGCGGGCGGCTGCGGGGAGGTGCCGATCGACGCCAGTGTCGTGGTCGTCGGATTGGCGGGTGCTGCTAGAGGCACCGCGGCGGGTAGCGGCATGGGCGGGCTGAGTATCCACAGGGAAACACTTGTTTCCTGCTATCCTCAGGCAGTTTTGGGGTTACAGCTGCATCTCAGTGCAGCCACATGCTCTTACCCTCCAGTGGGAGACCAGAGCTGACAAATGCTTGTGGGAATTAGAGTTTTGAGCATGTTGGGGTAGAGTCATCAGTGGTGGAGGGTAGCTGTGGATAGTATCTCTGGATGGCATTTCCTAAGTCATCTTAGGAAATCTGTGACTATCCCTTCTGTAACAAATGTAATGGATTTTGAGTTCTGGCAGCTCTCTAATGCAGAGTCCTGTAGAATAATTGATTTTATATGTTGCTCTGTGTGTGTGTGTGTGTGTGTGTGCTGCAAACACCCTTGGAGTGCTCCCAAGCCTGGGAATACAGGAACTAAATCTGTTTCTAGTGATGCTTGTGATACTTCAGCCAAACATCAGCTCACCTGATTGAGCTGCCAGGAGGGCTGGACAGGGGCTCATTGGGAGGTGGGGAGTTGAGCCACACTGCTTCCAGCACATGACCCTGCTCATGTTGCTGTGTCCTCCTCCCCACAGGAAACAGGTTTTGGCTACCAAAGCTGAGGCAGAGAAGGATGGCGTGAAGGTCCCTACTACACTGGCAGAGTACTGCATCAAAACTAAAGTGCCTTCCAATGACAACAGTTCAGATTTGCTTTATGACGACTTGTATGATGATGACATTGATGATGAAGATGAGGAGGAAGAGGATGCCGACTGTTATGATGATGATGATTCTGGCAATGAGGAGTCGTGACCTGCTCCCTCTATGCCCCTGTACTGCCCTGTCAACTCAGGCCAGAAGGGAGCAGTGGTAACCTAGCAGCAGTCCAGCAAAAAAGTAGTGGTGGGAGGGGGGGGAATCAAAAAAACTGTCTCCTGCTGTCTCCTGTTGTATGGATCTGTTTGCTCCTTTTTTATGGACCTCTTAGAGACCCTCCACAGAATGTCTGAATTCTTGCATTCTTAACCCTTTCATCACTGTATTATGATTTCTTTTTTAAAAAGAAATTCCCTTTTTCACTTCTACAAAATGCTCACAGTGAAACAGGTTTGCTTGTGTTTAGATTCTTGAATTAAATACAGTCTTGTATTGAGATGTTTAATGTATTTAAAGCTGGAATAAACCCATTGGAAGATGAATTTTCAGGACCTCAAGTACTGCATTTACTGGGAAGAAAAAATCCGCACAAAGCAAATTGCCAGGGTTTAGCTTCTCCATTTACAATAATAGTGTGTATACATTTGTTTAGCCTTGTGGTGGTGGCTTTTCCTTTATAAGGTGTGGGGTGGAAAGTGTAAAGCTACTGTGTGTTGAGCTTGATGGGATGTTACTGAAAGGTACAGGAATCTGTTTAGTCTGATCAAATTAGGAAATAGCTGGCCCCTGGATCCCCAGAGGGCACAATCAGCTTTGCCTCTGAAAGAGGCTTGTGATAAAATAAACACTTAACACTTCACATCTGTACAACTGAGCCCTGGGTTGCATTATTTTTTTCAGACTAGGTTTGGGTTGAAAAAGTTTTGTTTAGCCATTCTTCTGGGATCTGCTGTCAGCTGCCCCTCTACTGAGGGAGGAAAACAGAAGTGGATTCCACTGCCCAGTGGGCCAGCATTCATTCTGAACTTCTTTTTGGCAGTGGGAGAGTCCCCTTCTCCGGTACTTGCTAGTAGCCCTTGCTTCCTGTAGCCCAAATCCAGTGCTGGCCTGAGCCTTCTTTCTGTTGCTTATGTAGGTCACCTGTTGGTAAATGCAGCTCTGCTGTAGCTCTGTGGGGTTGGCAGAAGATAAAGCTCCCTGGGGCAGCCAGGCTGTTCCTGTGCCTGCAGTGGCTTCTGGGACATAGGGCAGAGAGATGGATGTGTGTTGGGCTCTCTCCTGTCTGGCTGGCTGGGGCACAGGTGGATGTGTGCAGCCCCACAAAGAGAAGGGTACACAGTGCTTTCAGGCTGAAAAAGAAAGGCAGCAATCAGGGTTTGACAGCCTATTTAGGAGTATGCTTCAGCTGGTGCCCTGAGCTCAGCCTCCTGCATGATTTTGGGAGCTCTTGGCAGAGCTTAAGGCCCTCAGCACCCTCACCCTATTGCAGTGTGCTCTTGTTCAGCTGTAGGGCAGTGCCCTGAATTGACCTTTCACATGGATTGGCAGCCAGCCCTGCCCTTCTGCACTGAGCCCTGGCAGCCCCAGGAGCAGATCAGAGGTGCCGGCCCTGCTTGGGTGAGACCCTCTGTTCTCACAAGAGGCAGTCACCCTGATAAGAACTGCAGGCTCAGGCATTTGGTATAGCTTGGTGGTTTTAATGATACATCACCAGCTGCAGTCCCTCAAGAGGTACTTTGGTGTGAGTAAATTTTGTTCTGTGATCAGCTTGGTGGGAAGCAAGGAGCAAGATGAGAGTGAGCAAGCTTAAAGTGTGTTGCCTGGAGAGAGAGGAGAAGGCAGCCCTCGGGGAGGGGAAGAAGGCCTGTGGGGCTCTGTTTGAAGTTATCAGAGTGTTGCTTGGCTGGGGTTTTCTGCAGCAAGGACAGTCCTTGTCCCTCTGCCCCAGCTTGTGTTAGTGTGCCTTCAGCAGAATGAAGGCAGCCCAAGTGGTAATACCTTGTCTCCAGTGTGTTCTGTGATGATCTCCCCTCCTGCTTGCTTTTTACCTGGGGAGGCAGCTGGAACCCTCCTGATGTGTCCCACAAGGGCTCCTTCAGGTCATCCTTCCATCAAAGACTAACAGCCCCTGGTGCTTTTTGGAGCCAGCATCGGAGCCCCCCCTCAGCTCCCAGCTTCACACTAGCCCTGGGAGGGTGGTGCCAGTGTTGGCAAATGGGCCTCTGGCACTTGATGCAAGACTGGTCTCAAGGCCACACTGGGCCAGGAACATTAGTCTCCAGCTTTGAGGGGCTCTTGGGGGCATGAAGGAACAGAGTATGGCAACACCGGCTGTGCTGACTTGGTTTGAAATGATACTGCATCTTTCAGGATTTCCCTTGTATTTTTGACTGTCTTCACTGTTCACTGTATGCTCTCCAGTGAGTTGTATTTTCAAGCTTGGTGTTGTAAGATGCATTATCTCATGTTAACCTTTTTAAACACAAAAAGCAACCTATTTTGAGAGCTCTGACCATAACCAAACTAATTTCTTTTCCCCACTGTCCTGTGCAGTGTCATTGCTTGTTGACTTGCTGGCTTCATTTTTTGAGATATAAATTGAAATGAGGGTATTGTGTTTGGTTTTGGTTTTTGGTTTTTTTAAACCTATTTAAGAAATTGTGGAAAAATGTTTACCTGATCTTTGTATTCTGTTTTTTTTTCTTAACCTTTTCCTCATCTCAGCTGATACTAGTGTTTACATTTGCAACTACCTGCCCTTTCAAATGCAGTTTTCAACCATTCTGAAATCAGCAGGGTACACTACATTTCTTAGTAGTTTTCTTAGCTGAAATCCCAGATGGTTTCCTTTTTTTCTTCAGTATAATTTAACAGAAACAATTAACTGATGCATTTTTGTCTTGTCTTCCCCTTCAGTAGTTATGTTTTGTCTTTTCTGCACATCTATTAATAAAAATGTGGAATGAAAATATGCTAGTACTGTTACTTCCCCGTTAATTGAGTTGGTTTATTTGCATGGGTTACTTAAAGCTTTGAATAACAGCTGTTCACAAATTCAGTGGTGCTCCAGTATCAATACCTATACATATACATAAATATCTACAAGGTTATTGGAAAACTAAAGCTGCTGTTTGACAGCTGTCTATACCTTAAAGAACAAACTGATTCGGAGAAGCACTTTGGCAAAAAGCCATGAGCTTTGCTGTTATATTTATTTATTCATGTTAAGTCAGCAAAGAGGAGACCAGGGAGAAGACTGTTAACGGTATCATATGACTGCAGCAGGATGCAAGGACTTGGAGTAAAGGTGGTGCTGGCATGGGGTTGGGGTGCTGCTGGTGGCCAGTTTTCTGGGGCAAGGTGCTTTGACCTCATGCAGAAAACTGGCAGAGGAATTGAGGTAATCATTGCCAACCACCCCTTCAGGGTGCTTGCCCTGCCTGGCCCATGCTGTTCCCTCCAGGCTCAAGAGTGGAGAAGTATCTGTTTTTGCAGTGCTGAAATTATCAGGACACATGTACAGGTGTTGTATTTGCTATACAACATTGTTTGCATCACAGCAATGGCCGAGTCAAATGTGTCCGGGGCCTAAATGTTTCTGCTTCACAGCCATGATGGAGGAAAAGTTATGGCATTGCAGAGCTGACTTCCTAGAGAAGTCTCCGTGTTGGGGAATGAGACGGTGCTGTCTGGGCCTTCTGACTGGGATCAGGCCTGCTTGTAGCTCCTGCCTGCCTTGAGCTGACAGTAGCTTCTTGATCTAGCAGAAGGTGTTGTACCAAAACCAGGACAAACACTCCATGCTGCCTTGCACTGGACAAACCTGGCTGCCCCTTGTGCAGTGGTTGGGGTTTTTTTCTCTCCATTTCCTTAATGGCCAAATGCAGCAGTGTAACCTTGGTTCTACCATCAGACTGTGGAACAGAAACTTAGAGAGGAAATTGCTGCAGAAGAGCCCTGTTGGAGCTGACAATAAGGGGAAAACATCCTGTTTAGACTTACCAGGGGAGGGAAGGGAGGCAGTAAGTCTCCAGCCTCCAGAAACAGATTGTTGTATTCCCAGTGCAGGATCGAGCACTTTGTCTTATTAAACCTCACCACAGACCTTCCTTCTGATGGAAGCCCTGGACTTCATGGGCAAAGCAAGGAAGGACAGGGCTGCTGTGCTCCCTCCTTACCATTCCCAGCTGCTCCACAGAGCCTCAGACAGAGCACAACAAATGCAGAACATGATGCTTGTGGCAGAAGTCAGGGTGCTGCCCAGGATCCCAACCCAATGCAGCTGCCTATGAGCTTTTAGTACCAAGGTGTGCTCGCTTTTGTCACAGTATTCAGCATCCCCTGCATACCCATCTCTTGCTCTTACCTTCCCAGGAGGAAGAGGTAGAAAGGGACAGGCTGTAAAAGCAAAACTGCTTGAGGCCTTTGAAAATGAAAACACTAGTGATATGCTCAAATATTTATTAGTTGGAGGGAGAGTTAAAAAGAAATAAAACTTCTAAAACATTCACTGCTCTGGTGCAGGAGAAGAAGGACCAGGAGTTGCCTCCAGGGTCTTGCTTTAAAAAAAAGTGGGGATGGACAGGTGAAGTTTCCATCAAGTAGCTGTGTCTTTACTGGGCAGGGTGGCTCAAGGCAAAAAGAGGTACAAGACACAGCTTATACTTTTATTTAAGAAACTGCTACATAGTTTTTGCCTCTAATGATGAAAAGGAAGTTGCAGGACCCACTGAGCCATCCAAAGTCTCTTGCTAGAGAAACAAAAAAACCCCAACCCAATACCAAAATACACAACCACCCCCCCCCAAAAAAAAAAAAAAACCCACAAACAAAAACCACCAAAAAAAAAGGCCTTTATTATTAAAAATAAGTGAAAAATAAAAAGGTGAGAGTGCAGCTCAGGGCCACAGTGAACAAACTGCCCACAAGAATTCATCTTCCACAGCAGGAAGGAATGAGGAGATGAAAGAAAGAAGAAGGACCCACAACATTTTTTTTTTCTTCCCCCAACCCCTTTTTTATCTTTTTCAAGTAACAGGTATATTGGGGGATGAGGGCAAAAATCAAACCAACAGGACACATCTTGATTACTTTTTTTTTGGGGGGAGGGAGAGAAAGCAGGTCTTATTTGCCTGAATTTAGAACTGCATTAAATAAATGACCTCCAGCTCAAAAAAAAAAAAAAAAAAAAAAAAAGGCACAGTTTGTCTTTTGACAGTTATAAAGCTTAAAAAAACAAGGAAGGATGATCTGATGCAGATGGGAAACTCATAATAAATTTCCCTACAAAGAAAATAAAATAGGCTGCAAGATGCAGAAAACCACATTTAGCCTCTATTGCATTTACAAATACATACATAAATATATTACATACAACAGCAACTTCAGGCAAGTCACACTGAGAATGGCTGCCTGGCTGTAGTTCTCCCCACACAGACGTTTGGCTGAGCAGTAATTTCTCCTAATAATTCTAGGAATGGGGGTCAGCTTTTTCTTTTTCTTTTTTTTTTTTTTTTTTGCCTCCTCTCCTTTAATTCTCTCCCCCCTCCCCAGTTTTGGATTTAGTTTGTCCAGTATGGAGAAGTACCATAGGTTTTGGTAGCCTGAGACTTTTGCTGCATGGTGCTGGGTTGATTGCGTTGGCCAGATCCACCCTAGAAATCAGAAAGAAAGGAGACATGAGCACCAACACTACTAGGAAGACAAGCCTGTCCATACATCAGCAGAGGAGCTTCCACCAACACAGCAATGCTCCCTGCTGGACAGATCTGTTTCTGCTCTGCAACATCTCTGCATCCTGCAATCCAGGACAGTCACAGAGACATCAAACAGAAGAGCAGGGACCACCATCCCACTACCTCCCACTCAGGTTTAGTGACAAGGAAGAAGAGGAGCAGGACTGGGGACAACAAAGGAACTCTCCCAAGGTGAAAAGAAGCAGTACACCAGCCAAAGACAACACACATTAAGAAAGAGAAGTAATTTTGTGTTTCTTGATTCTAAGGCAGAACTTTCTTGGGGGGAACATTTATAGTAAGGAAACACATGGGCTGGTAAAACCAAATCAGAAATTGGAACTAACGTGCAACCTGCAAGGGGATTATTTCCCCCCCAGAATTACAGTACAAGTGTTCACATCTTGCTCTCCTGCCACAGCCAGGGTACATCAACACTTGCCTGGGCTTCACACCTCACAGCCCATCTCTCCATGCCCCACATCAGGATGGCCTCTTCACAGAATCACAGCCTGGCTAAAGCTAGCAGGGACCTCTCAAGGTTTCTTACCCAATCCTTCTGCTCAAGCAGGGTCACCTAGAGCTAGTTATCCAGACCTATGTCCAGACAGCTCCAAGGATGGAGACTCCACAACCTCCCTAGGCAAACTGTACCAGTGCTTGTCATCATCCTAATAAAAAAGTGTTTCCTGATGTTCAGAAGGAACCTCCTGTGTTTCAGCCTGTGCCCATTGCCTCTGGTCCTGTCACTGGGAACCACTGGAAAGAGCCTGGCTTCATCTTCTTTGCACCTTCCCTTCAGGTACTTTTATATATATATATATATATATATATATATATATATATATATGTAGATGATATCTCCCCTGAGCCTTTTCCTCTCCAGGATGAACAGTCCCAGCTCTCTCAGCCTTTACGGATAAGAGATTACCCAGTCCTTTCATCATCCTTGTGACCTTTTGTTGGACTCTCCAATACATCCATGTTTGTCTTGTAATGGGGAGCCCAGAATTGGACATGGGACTCACCAGTGCTGAGCAGAGGGGAAGGATCACCTCCCTTAACCTTCTGGCAGCACTCCTGCTAATACAGCCCAGAATGCCTTTGCAACAAGGGCATAGTGCTAGCTCATGGTTAACTTGGTGTCCACCAGGATGCCCAGGGCCTATTCTGCCAAGCTGCTTTGGCTCCCAGCATATACTGGTGCATGGGGTTGTTTCTCCCCAGGGGAAGGACTTGGCATTTCCCCTTGTTGAACATCATGAAATTCCCTCCCCAAGCTGGCCAACAGCATTGAGTCTGTCAGTCTACAATTGTTGTCAAGGCCCTTTCCCAATGAGCAAACAAAAACAAGAAGAAAGCAAAAATCCCCAAGACCTTGCTAGGAATCTGCCCTCAGGCACACTGAAGATGATGAAGGGGCTGACTCACCTGCCCATCTTGCTGAAGATGGTGATGCAGCATCTGGGAATGAGGCTGCTGATGCGCAGGGAGGATATGGAGAAACGGGGCTGGAGCATAACCTGGGGCAGCACCAGGGTTCAGCCCAGTTGATCCAAGAGCAGAGGGGAGGCTAAAAGAAGGTGGTGTGCCAGCATGGAATCCCTGTTTATCAAATGTCTGTACAGGAGGTGAGGGGGACAGCATCAGAGACTGGTGTGAGCAGCCCCATGGTGACCAAACAAGAACAAGAGTGGCCCAAACACACATCACCTGAAACTTTCATCAACCCCCACAGAGCAAGCCAAGTTACACCTGCAAGCACTTCAGCAGATGAGCTTCAGCTCCTTTTCTCATCCATTCTTTTGAACTAATGACTCCAACATTTCATTTTTATTTCCACAGCTACTATGCTTCTTTTTTCCCTGACCTCTTTTTATTTGGTGGGACATGGGATGGCAGCAGCTGCCTGAAATCAGTCCTTCACACATTATGGGGTCTCAGGCTGAAATTACAAAAGCAGAAGAACCACTTGCAATAAGATTTTTCTCCCCCTGACCAAAGCTCAACCCAGCCTCTTGACTCACTTGCTTTGAGGGATATTTTGTCCAAAAACAATAGTGCAATCATACTTCATTTGCAACCAGGACACAGTACGGGTGGGGCAGCATGGGCAGTGTAGAGTGCCCACACCTATGTCAACAGCTGCCATTAGGAGAAGTGGGACAGAGAGCGAGACTCCTCTCCAACAGCACACAGCCAGCATAAGAAATGCCACAGCCTGTTGACCCTGAGAACCAACTGGCTTGGGAATGACCCTAGCCTCCTCCACAAGGGGATCCATTGGTCAGGCCTCAAGAGCAGAGGGGAAGAGAGTCCAGCATTGCTCACCTGAATCTTGTTATAGACTGAGCCACTGATATCAGGCACACCCGTGTTACTTGAGGTCACAGAAACACCTGGAAAACAAAAAACAGCCACCAACAATGGGAAAGTCAGCCATCACCTAGCACGAGCCCCATGCTTTGCTCCCAGCACCTCTGACAGCCTCAGTCTGCAACCACTGCACCCCACACCCTGATGCTGCTGCTGGCCCACCCAGTGGGGTTCTCCATGCTGTCAGACCCACAGCACTGCACATGAGAACAGAAGAAATGGTTTGGTTTCTCACTCCCACTGCAAAGCAGGAAATCAGTCAACTGGAATAAATCACCCACATTCACAACCCAGTGGTTGCCACTTGGATTCAAATGCACTTCACCAGGCAGCAGTTGACTGCACCACTCATTCAAGTTCACAAAAAGACAGCTTTCCCCTAGGATTAGGGATGCATTTGGCTCTACTGTAGCATTCAACAGCTTTCCAGTAGTGCACTGAGCAATGAGATTCAGCATCTGCTACACATTTGAACCCTTGTCCTTTTACATCCTGCAGAAGGGTGAGATCTGCAATGATCCTCTGCCCAGAGAAAATTAATATCACTGATTCAGGCTGCCTTCCATCTAGACAGTCTAGTGCCATATCAGGCTCAGGAACACTCACCAGCAAGGTGATTTTCAAACCAGCCACTTATTCAGTCTTATAAAGACTGTCTCTAATAATTTCACTTGGCTCAAAATAAAACTAGCTATTCCTTTGGCCAGTGAATCTGAGGACTGGGCTCAGAGGATGTGCACTGCTTTATGGTTGTTCCTTTCCGAGGACATTGCTCCTTTTTGGACTGCTCCTCTACAGATGAGAGCATGATCAGCTCCTGGCTGAAGACAGCATTTCAAATGCACAGCAAATGCTTGGTAGTTGCTTAAATCCAAGGATGAACTAGTTAGTGCTAAGCAGCTAAGTATACATTTCTCAGGTCTAACCAGCATGTGCAGAATAAAGCTTTCATATGAGCTGTATAAATTCTTCAGCCTTTACAGTCACAAAGGAAACATTTTCAGGCACAAAAGAAAGTGATGAGTTACAGGGTGTACAGACAGAAGCCAAACAGCCCAGAGATGTGTGAAGTGCCCTGTTCAACCCTAACACACAGCTACCTCAAGTGCCTACCAAGAAATCCAATTTAGTCTTCATTTGGCAGAGGACAACTTCAGCAACAGCATCCAACTGCTTAGGCTTCAAAAACACAGCACTGTTGCAGGATTACTATATTCTTCAGCAAAGAAAACTTCAGCAGAGGAAACAGCTTACCATTTCTCCCATGTATAATTGTGGACAAAGCTGCACATCAGCCACACAAATACTTATGCAAAGTTCAGCCATGAGGTTTAGAAGGAACACTTGGGCCATTAAAAAAGCATTTTGTATATGTGAGATGGACAAACAGCTTGGATCATGACCCTGTTTAGAGCTGGCTGCTGTGTTGACTGCACAGCACTGTGAGTTGGCCCTACTAAATCCCACTCAAGCAACCTCATGTTTCATGTTACCTTTCCCAGGACCAGTGCCAGCAGATTTGTTTTGTGCTTGAGATGACCCACTGTAGCCTCCTTTGCTGTAATCTCCTGCTGCTGTTCCCTGCGTTAAGTCATCATAGCCTGCCGGTGTGTACAAGACAAGGTGTTACAGGGAGCAAGCAGCTCTGCAGATATGCATGTGAAAAGCACAGTGGCAAGCATACCTGCCCCATAGCCATGCTGCCCATAGCCACTCCCTTGCTGAAAAGGAGTCGACGTGGTGTTCAGGTTGACTCCATGCTGTTTAGCAGATGCTGGAGGTACCTGGACAAAGGAAGGAAACAAAAGACTGTTAACCAGAGAATGGCACACAAAACACAAGGTCCCTCTGCCATCTAGTGGAGAAGGCACCTTCACCTTGTGGGAAATTCAATCTGGAGTTGGGAGTACTGGGCTGACATGGGACATGGCACTCACGCTTCCAGAAGTAAATTGCTGTAGTGGCTTTATGCAAGCTCCAAGTTTTCTGCCAGAGCTGACCCCCTGATTACAGCACAATCCTCTCTCAAAACAGGCTGTGTATTTCTTTAGAATAATAGAATTATTAAGGTTGGAAAAGACCTCCAAGATCAAGTCCAACCTTCAACTGAACACCACCTTGTCAACTAAACCATAGCACTAAGTGCCACATCCAGTAATTTCTTGAACACTTCCAGGGATGGTGACTCCACCACCTCCCTGGGCAATCCATTCTAATACTTAACAACCCTTTCTGTGAAGAAATTCTTCCTGATGTCCAACCTGAACCTCCTCTGGCACATCTTGAGGCTATTTCCTCTTGTTCCCTGGGAGCAGAGCTTGTCCCCCACCTGGCTGCACTGTCCTGTCAGGGAATTATAGAGAGTGAGAAGGTATGCCCTGAGCCTCATTTTCTCCAGGCTAAACATCCTCAGCTCCTTCAGCATCTCCTCATAGGACTTACTCTCTAGACCCTTCCCCAGCTCCATTGCCCTTCTCTGGACACACTCCACCACCTCAATATCTTTCTTGTAGTGAGGAGCCAAGAATTCAACACAGGATTCGAGGTGTGGCCTCACCAGTGCCCAGTACAAGGAGAGTGATCATTGCCCTGGTCCAGCTGGCCACACTATTGCTGATACAGGCCAGAATAGCATTGGCCTTCTTGGCCATCTGGGCACACACTGGCACATGTTCAGTTGTCTGTTAACCAGCACCCCCATGTCCTTTACTGCTGAGCCACTTTCCAGCCACTCTGCCCCAGCCTGTAGCACTGCAGGGGGTTGGTGTGACCAAGTGCAGGACCCAGCACTTGGCCTTGTTGAATCTCTTACATACACTGACTCTAAACACCAAATTGTCACCCACAGAATCAAATGAAACACCAACTCCTCCCCAAGTCTGTTTCATAAGACACAGTCATACAAGGCCCTAAAATAGAGTCATCTACCCTTCTGCTTGGAGCATCCCTCTTCCCAAATAACATTTTCCCTCCTGAGACTCCCTGCTCGCTGAGTTAATCCAGCCTCCTCAATGCTCAAAAGGATTTCGTAGGCATTCTCGGCTCTCTGACAGCTTTGGATCTCCCTTTGACTATCTGGAGGGTGCTACAGGCTTTCAGGAACACCAAGTCCAAAAGCTGCAGCTGTCTGCTATTTATAGTAACCTGCACAGGCATTCATGAGTTCTGGCCTTTTAAATTTCCCATTTTCTTGAGGGAGAGACTGCAGCTATTTTCTCATTCTTGCATGTTTTTGGAGATCCCTTACAGACTGGGAAAGATGACTATTCTGCTGCCATGAGACCCTACCTGGAGTACCATATCCAGTTCTGGGGGCCCCAGTATGTTGTGATGCACTAAAAAAGACCTGTTAAACAGGTCTAGAGGAGGGCCATGAAAACAATCAGAAGACTGGAGCACCTCTCCTTTGAAGAAGGGCTGAGAGAGTTGGAGCTGTTAATCCTGAAGAAGATAAGGCTCCAGGAATACCTTATTGTGGCCTTTCAGTACTTAAAGGGAGCTTATAAGAAAGACACAGAAACATTTTTTTACCAGGATCTGTAGTGACAGGACAAGGGAGAACGGCTTTAAAGTGAGAGAGGATAGATTTAGATTGGACATAAGGAAGATGTTTTTTACACTGAGGGTGGTGAGACACTGGCACAGTTTGCCCAGAGAAGTTGTTGCTGTCCCATCCCTGGAAGTGTTCAAGGCCAGGTTGGATGGAGCTTGGAGAAACCTGGTCTAGTGAAAGGTGTCCCTGTTCATGACAGAGGCAATGGAACTACATGATCTTTAAGGTGCCTTTCAACCCAAACCATCCTGTGATTCTAAAATGTAGGTTTGGGCTGAAGAGAGCAAAACCAGAGAGGCACACAGGGAGGGTTACAGTTTAGGCTATCACACTTACAAACATAGTTGGCCCATATTGGAATGCACTGGGAACACCGGGCACACCAGCATAATAAGGTAACCCAGTGTAGCTGTACCCTGGGGGCAGGGTCGGATTGAGGAATGGCTGCTGAGTTGTATGGTGAGTCTGAGTCTGGTTCTGCTGCGACTGGGCGAGCGTGGTAGCAGGAGAAGGGGAGGCAGAATCCCCACGGCCAAATTTTGTTATGTCACCTGCGAAAGAACAAACTCATCAGAAAAGCTATTAAAGCTATACCAGAAGTGGAGAATTCAAAGGATTCAAAATCTCTGAATACAAGTAGACAACTACAGAAGAGAACACATCCTACACTTGAAAGCCTGCAGTTGTTCATGGGAAGCCTTCTCCCAGTCTCTGTTCGTGATGGCTACAGGGACATTGCCTGTTAGTGGGAGAGAACTCCATGCCATGGCTAATGCATTGTTAAAATGGAGATACCAATGCTTACCTATCTCACACAATCTGAGCAGATTCATTATATCAGATCATTGCAATAAAACATGCTAAAAGAAAAACTATGGTAAACAGCCAAAGAGCAAATAGTTGTTGTGTTAAAGTGTGACTCTCCTAGAGGTTAAACTGATTAGCTAAGCTTCATGGGCTGAAAGCAAGTTAGGATTTGCAGGAAGTGATAGGCATATTTTTGTCAGTCTGTTTATTTACCAAGCATGACTAGAGTTAATATGTCTGGTTCCTCACACAACCAAAGTTCTGGAAACAATAGCTGAAGGCCAGGAAAGCAAGACTTGCATCGTGGCCCACCTTTTTTAAGAAGTAGGAGGGAAATTTGGTTATTACCCCCAAAAGCAGAGTCCCAAGAGAAATGATTATGCAGCAGAAAAACTCCTGAACACTTGCATTTTCTGGTGGCCTACAGAGCACCATGCTCACATGCTTTTAGGGAGGTGACATATATCACTCATATCTATCTCATTCCCAACTAATATTCCTTTATGTTGATTACCAGAAAGTATGACAACACTTAATATCATCGTTATACGAATTATAACAGCTGTAGCTACAGTTTTAAGCTGTAATCAGATTGTAGTGAAAGAAAATCACTGGCTGAAAATCCTGGATAGCATTAATGTCATCTTTGCACAACAATAACTGAAGAGTAAGAGCAGGAATGAACAAGGGCTTCTTAGGCCACATGCTTTTGGGAATGAAGTCTATTAGATTTGGAGAGGATGAGAGGGAGCCTGCTAGAGGCAGCTCCTGCTGAGAACATAGGAGCACTAAAATAGCAATAACAAAGGAAAGCAAGCCAGTCAAATTTCAAGAAGAATGATTAGGCTATGGAATAGTTTTCAAGCACCTATATGCACTTGGGAAGGACACTAGATGACACTACCATTTAAATTTGTAATGATTTTGCACTTATTCTCAAAGGGCATCCAACTTACTCCCAAGAACCTCTGAGTCACATATGAATTACTGACCAAAACCATGAAGAAAAAAAAATTTAAAAAAAATCAATGTCAGCGTTTAGAGAAAGATGCTTGCTTTTGTTTGGCTAGTTTGGACTGATGGGTTTAACTGCATACAGAAGGGGAAAATTACTGCTTTTTCAGCAACAGCAGGATGACCAGCACATCTCACTCACCATCCTCATGTTTAAATAATACTCACCTGAGAAGGGGTTGTTAGCAAGGCTTCCATCTCTGCCTGTTAAGGTTGCAGGAGCAGGGAATGTAATTCCGTAGTAATCCTTAGAAAAAGACATCATAATTTATTAATAGCTGAAATGCTGAAACCATAACAGATCTGGACAACTCTTATGAACCCTTATACTTTTTATAATATAACCCTTATATTTCTTATAAGTATAAGAAATTTTTTAAAGGAAGAAATAAAGGAAGTTTGGGCAGAAACTGACCTTATCATTTACAGCATAGCTGAAGGTTTACCTGTATCCTCAACTTCAAAATAAACCTATTTTACAGACTTTTTTAATATCATAGACAAATACGTAATCTCTTAATCATAAATTAAAGGCAACGACTAAACGCTTACCCCACCCAACCTGCAGCTCTGAGCTGTCATTCCAGTGAGACTGTGTCTGGAAGAGGAACAGACCATCAGAGGCCAAAGACCTAGGTTCAAGCCAGGACCATAATCACTATGTGGATGTAGTCTAAAGGTTTTAACATGCTCTGATTTCTAAAAGTAAAAAACATCAGCTAGGAAAACAGCACAATTATTAAAAAAACTGTTGAAAAAGAGTTACCACCTGATGACTTGAAAATTTACTTAAACTATGTTACAAGAGAACTCAGATCAGTAGTCTCTAAAGTAAGGTGCACAAGACAATCCACTGGGGTGCATGAAGAATTTGGTTTTGGTATAATTAATAAATACAATTTAAAAAAATAAAAATTGAGCATGAAAATTGTTATGTACAATATAGATAATTTATGTCTGTAGGATGATATGTATGTAATGTTTCATATTATTATAAAGCATATGAGTCAGTACTAGGGGGCTTGCCTCACATATGTTGAAACTGTCTCTGATAACACCTCATTTACAAGTTAATACACGTAGCTCTCTGGAGATGGGTCGTTTCTCAAGGTGATCCAGGAACTCCCAGGCGATGATCATCCCGACAACAACACAAGATTGGAATCACTGGAACCACCCAAAAGGATACATCTCAATGCCAGGTTCCCATAACTCCATCAAGGATGTACATCACTTTCCAGACACCAGATTGTTCAACTCAGCACAGAGAAAAGAGACTTTATGAATATGTGGGACTTTGGAAAGAAAAGGCTGATTGCCAAAATCCCAGCCTTGAGCAAAATAAACCGTATAAAAATCGCTCGCGCAGGATGGTTGGTGTGAAACATAGGGGACCCTCTGCTGTAGCGGTCAGACCTGTGTCTCACCCAGCGCCGATCCCAGGCTCGGCACTGTCCTTTTCTTTGTGGCTGGTTCAGATAGATTTCGATTGCTAAATAAAATCAATTTTTATTTTTTAATTCGGCTGGATTAATTTTTACCTATAACAATCTTCGTGACCCTGACGTGATCTGATTTGGGGTATCTAGGGGCTCCCTGCCCCGGGTCTGGGTGACACCCTGCTGATTTCAGCAGCCGGGCAGGATTGGGAGACCCCCAGGGAACCAGTCAGATTCCGAACTAAGACCCTACAGCCACAATCAGAAGGGGATAAAAACGGGCCCAGAGGTCTCGGATACTTGGAGTCGTAGCCTCTGAAGCCGCGGCAGCAATTTTTTTTACTCATAAAAATCTACGTGCACAAAGAATCCACGAGGGAAAAGGAACCGTAAGTATCACATGGTTGAGTGGGGCGTGATCAAGCATGTGTGTGAGATGTGACATTGTCACGAGGCAAGTGCGGGCCCCAGGATCGCAGTTCCACTATCCTGTGAGGGCAGTGGTCAGTTGCGGGGGAAGCGAACGAAACCAGGTGAACTCACATCACACGCAAAGCCTGCAACTCAGGGAGTTCAGGGGTTCGATCACAGGAGGATCGGAGGGGGAAGGTACGTTCTCGGATACTCGAGAACTGGTAAACGTCTTCGGTCCAGGACTTGAGAGTCTGGGAAAAAGGTAAGAGAGCTCTTTTTTCTTATCAGCCAAAAATCCACAGATCGGTTCACTGTGCGACTAATAAGTTGATAAGACTCGGTCCGGAAAGGACCAGATCACACACTCGGCAAATGGCCTGTCAGTTTTTGGAACTGTTTGTGAGATTCGACACAGAGGTACAGTAAGGAGACTTTAACATGGGACAAAAGAAAAGTAAGATCCAGAGAAAAACCCAAGGGAAATCGGGGAAATCAGAAAAGGGGAAGAGGGACGGGTTGCCCGAGTTCCAGAGGGAGAGCCCCTTGGGATGGATGTTAGAACATTGGCAGGATTGCCCCGCAAGGCAGAGAAAATCCAAGGAGAAAATTATACATTATTGTGTAGAAGTATGGGGAGATATGGAAATTGGGAAGTACATGTTCTGGCCCATATTTGGCACGTTTGATACAAGGATGTGCCAAGCATTATCAGATTGTGTATATGAGGAAAGTGGACTGGACAGTGAGGAAATGGACTACGCCAGATTGTGGGAATACGCTGGTGCGAGACTATTCCCAGTCAAAACTTCTGGCAGTAAGGTAAGTCCGAGTGAAACCTGGGATCCCTTGGAAAATCTTCCACCACCTATCAGGTCCCTCCTCCCCAAGCACAGGCCCCTATACCTGCACCAACAGCTCCCCCATCTCAACTCACACGGACACAGGCACCACCACTTAATATACAGCCATCAGCTCTGGCGGTGCCAGACACACCGGGACATTCCCAGTCCTTCCTCCCCGCACAGCAGCCAGACACTCACAGTCACACACTTCCCACTGGGGAAACCATGTCTCCTCCAGCCAGTAGAACTCGGCGTAAAATGAGGAGAGAAAATACTGATGACAATGAGGAGGAAAGGGATAAACCAAACCTCTACCCTTTAAGGGAAGTACCAGCTGCTCCTGGAGTAATTTGGTTTGTAAACATCCCAATCAACATGGGGGATGTGAGACCCTTTAAGAGGGAAATGGGAAAATTAATGGATGACCCTCTGGGGGTGGCGGAGAGGTTGGATGAATTTCTGGGGAACATTTATTCATATGATGACATCACTGCTATACTAAGATCATTGTTTAATGCCGAAAACCGGGATATGATATGGCAGGCTGCTATAAAGGATTGGGAATTCAGGAACCCCCAGGGAGGGAGTGGGGCCAAGAAGTGGCCTGAACAGAGGCCATCATGGAATGTCCAGGCAGGGGAGGATTGGCTCAAAATGAGCGGACTGAGAAACATGGTAATACAGGGTATCCGGGGGGCAGTACCAAAGGGACAAAATATTAGTAAAGCACTGGTGGAATGCCAAGGGAGGGATGAGACACCCACCAAATGGTTGGAGAGGCTTAGAAAGAACCTCCAAATGTATTCAGAGACAGACTAACTCTCCCGTGGGGGGAATTTTGTTAAAAACAAAATTTGTTGCAAAATCATGGGAGGACATACAGAAAAAGCTGGAAAAAATAGAGAATTGGCAAGAGAAAAGCCTGCAGGAGCTGTTGAGGGAAGCACAAAAGGTTTACATGAGAAGGGATGAAGAAAAACAAAAGACACAAGCAAGGGTACTGGTGACGACAAAAACAGGAGCGAGTCCAAAACCCAGGGAAGCCAACACAAGCCCAGCGGCCTCAGGGAAAGCTGGGACCCTCACAGAAAAAAAAAAAAAACCAACAGGAAAGTATCCCTGAGTGCTTTTACTGCAAGCAGAAAGGGTACTTCAAAAGGGAGTGAAAAAAGAGGATGAAAGATTTAATGATCTTTCAGGAGGATTAGAGGCGTCAGGGGCTCTATAACTTGGGGTTCAGAACACCTGGAGAGCCCTTGATAAAACTAAAGATTGGACCCCAAAAACAAGAACTGGTTTTCTTAGTTGATTCAGGAGCAGAGAGAACCACGGTTCAGCAACTGCCTCCTGGGTGCTCAAAAAGTAAGGATTCAATGGTGGTGATCAGGGCAAAAAGGGAACCCTTTAGGGTACCGTTTTTAAAGGATGTAAAAATAGAATCTGAAAATAAAATTTGTCTAGGGAATATCTTACTAGTAGAAGAAGCAGACTATAACTTACAGGGGATGGACTTGATGGTAATACTGGGGATAAGCTTGATTGCAAAAGAGTCACAACTCATGGTAAGTCTATATAAATTAACTACTGAAGATGAGGAGAAAATCAATCCCAAGGTCTGACACACTCAAGGGCAGGCAGGGAGGTTGGATATGGAACCAGTACGCATCAAAATTGAGAGACCGGAGGACCCCATTAGGATCAAACAATACCCCATCCCCATGGAGGGTAGAAAGGGGTTGAAACTGGCAATAGAGGATTTAATAAGAAAGGCAAGTTGGAACCTTGTATGTCAAGGCACAACACACCTATTCTGGCAGTGCAAAAATCAGATGGAAGTTACTGATTGGTACAGGATTTAAGAGCTGTAAATCAGACAACTAAAACTTTGTTTCCTATGGTCTCAAACACTTATACCTTATTGAATAACATATCTCCGGAGGACACTTGGTACAGTGTAATAGATTTAAAAGATGCCTTTTGGACTTGTCCTTTAGCCGATGAAAACTGGAATTATTTTGCCTTCCAGTGGGATGATCCGGAGACAAAGAGAAAACAGCAGCTAAGATGGACCTCTCTGCCTCAGGGGTTCGTGGATTCACTGAATCTCTTTGGCCCGGCCCTTGAGAAACTATTAAGTGAATTTGTGCCAGTACAAGGGACCAAATTACTACAATATGTGGATGACCTACTGGTCACCGGTCCCAAGGAAGAAGATGTAAGGGCCAGCACTATAGCCTTGTTAAATTTTCTAGGAGATAAGGGGTTGAAAGTCTCAAAGTCCAAATTACAGTTTACGGAGCCTGAGGTAAAGTACCTGGGACACTCGCTAACCAAGGGCAAGAAGAAATTGGATCCAGACAGGGTGACAGGGATCATCACCCTACCCCCTCCACAGACAAAAACGGAAGTCAGGCAGCTGTTGGGACTCCTGGGGTACTGCAGACAATGGATCAAGGGTTACAGCAAGAAGGTAAGGTTTCTTTATGAAAAACTTATCACAGACCGGCTCAAGTGGACAAAACAGGATGAGGAGAGTTTCAAGGAGTTAAAAG